TAAAACGAAGGATAGGGTTGTACGTGGAAAAGTGCATGGTATGTCAACAGGTTAAGACAGAACACCAAAACTAGCTGGATTGTTAAATCCACTGGACATACCCGAATGGAAATGGGAAAATATCACAATGGACTTTGTCGTTGGATTCCCGAAGTCAGCAAGAGGAAACAACGCTGTATGGGTAATAGTAGATCGATTAACAAAGTCAGCTCATTTTCTTCCAGTGAAAATGACATTCAGTTTAGACCAATTGGCATAGTTGTACATTAAGGAGGTTGTGAGATTACACGACGTACATGTGTCCATTGTGTCTGACAGAGGCCCAAGGTTCACGTCCAAATTTTGAAAAAGTCTACGAGGAGCTATGGGAACGAAGCTGAACTTTAGTACAGCATATCACCCTCAATCCGATGGTCAATCTAAAAAGACCATCCAAACTTTGGAAGACATGCTGAGAGCATGTGTTTTGAATCTAGGGGGTAGTTGGGAGTTATACATACCCCTAGTAGAATTCGCATATAATAACAGCTTCCAAGCAACTATCGGGATGGCACCGTACGAAGCTCTCTATGGTAGAAGATGTAGGTCCCCTGTTCATTGGGATGAAGTCGGGGAGAAGAGAGTTTTGAGACCATAAATAATTGAAAGGACAGTTGAGGCAATCGATAAGATCCGTGCAAGGATAAAGACAGCACAGGATCGACAGAAGAGCTATGCGGATACAAGGAGGAATGATTTAGAATTCAAAGTTGGAGAAAAAGTGTTTCTGAAAGTGGCACCGATGAAAGGTATACTTAGGTTTGGCAAGAAAGGAAAGCTACGACCCAGCTATATTGGACCATTCGAGATACTTGATAGAGTCGGAAATGTAGCCTATTGGTTAGCTCTCCCACCTGGGTTATCGGCAGTACACAACGTGTTCCATGTATTAATGATCAAGAAATATGTGCATGATCCTAACCATGTAGTGAACTATTAGTCCGTGGAAGTACAAAAGGACTTATCCTATGCAGAGGTACCAATTAGGATATTGGATCGAAATGTGCATAAACTAAAAAACAAAGAAATTCAAATGGTCAAAATACAATGGAATAAATAATCATGAAATAGAAGAGACCACTTGAGAAGGGGAAAAGGAAGTCAAAAACAAGTATCCAACACTATTCGCCCAATCAGAAGGTAAATTTCGAGGACTAAATTTTAATTAAGGTGTGGGGAATGTAGAACCCCAAATAATTTTAAACACCTTAGTGGCACTAAGACATGAATATTGGATGATTAAAGTATATTTCAGATTTTTAGTCTCATTTGAGACCCATTTACGACATAGAAAACATTCGATTTGGAAAATGACATCTAAAGAAAAGTTGTAGTTATTTGAGTTTGCTTTTCAACGCACTTTAAATTACCTCAATCGGATGTCGGGAGAAGAAGTTATAATAGAAATACTAAAAGTTGTACAGCATCAACCGAAGTATGCGGAATATGAAAAGTCAAATTCCTACACGATTTTCTAGCACCTTCTTAAACCTATAACTCCCACATAAATGGCACCCGTATTAATGAGTATTAGGCCCTTCACTTTTCCTAAAGCTGTGAGATTTTCACCTATAAATAAGCCCCAATGCATACACATTTTTCACACCAAGATAAAAGCTTCTAAGCATAAAAGAGAATTTTCAAATCTAGAAAAAAGAGAAAGGAGAGGGAGGAAAATTAGTTTTTCCTAGAAGTCTTGGTACTATCAAGAAGTGTTTTCCAAGCATCAATTCTCAACGGAGTGTTTTCTTTTTTTGAAACATCAAAGGAGTGCATTTTTCAACAAGGTTCAAAGCATCAATCAAGGTAGGTAGAGGTGCAAAGTGTTAATTTGTGTTAAGTTATAAGTTTCTAGCAAATGAAGATTTATGTTAATGTTTGTATGTCTAATGGTACCTCCGGTACGGCATACGCCTCCATGTCTAATGGTACCTCTGGGTACGGCATGTATTTCCGGTCGAAGCGTCGTGTTAAGTCATGACTCTACGTGTTTAGGATTCTACCAGAAATCCTACTATGAAAAGGTTTCTAAAGTTATAGTTTTGAAATGTATAGCTTGATCATGAATGTACCAATGATATCTACTGAGTTTTTTAACTCACAGGTTTAACCCCTTCTCTACAGATTGATATGATTCTACCTTGGGCCTAGATGATGGAAAAGATGGAGAGTGGTGCAACGAGCCCATGGAAAACCCGGTGAACAAGTTATTTAGATTTATTTTTGTGAACATTTTCAATGTTATTTCTTTAAAGTATTTGAATAACGCTAAACGCGAGAACAAGTTGTGTTTTCTTTAAATAAATTACGTTCCATATTTTTTTTATTTAGTGTTCCTTTAAAGTATTTGAAAGGTTGTTATTAAAATTATCATTGTAAAAATTAAGCTTCCGCTAAAATATATTCTCCTATGACTAAACCATCGATTAGTTAAGTAAATTAAGTAGCGTTCCGGTCTACAAGGGGTCGGGGCATTACATTGACCAATGGAATAGTCTTACTATGCAAAACCTGTTCCTTCCTATCCAATATCTGAACTGGTTTTTCTTCATAATTAAGATTTTCCTTCAGCTCTACTGGTTGTGATTTCAAAACATGAGATGGATCTGGAATATATTTACGAAGCATAGAAACATGGAACACATCATGAATTGTGGGCAATTCTGTTTGCAAAACCCATCGATACGCAACTGGACCGATGCGTTCAACAATCTCATATGGGCCAATATACCTCGGACTCAATTTATCTCGTTTACCAAATCTGATAACACCTTTCCATGGAGACAATCGCAGGAAAACTCTATCTCTCACATCAAATTCAAGGTTTCTTCTGCGTCTATCTACATAGTTCTTCTGTCTATCTTTGGCTGTTTTTAACTTTTTTTTAATTATCTTTACTTTCTCAACAGTAATCTGGACATTTTTAGGACCCAATAGCTTTCTTTCACCAACTTCATCCCAACATACTGGAGTTCTGCATTTCCTGCCATACAGTGCTTCAAAATGAGCCATTTCTATACTCGAATGATAACTGTTATTATAAGAAAACTCCATCAAAGAAAGATGAGTATCCCAATTCCCTTTGAACTGTAGTACACAAGCTCGTAATATCTCTTCCAAATTCTGAATAATTCTTTCTGACTGACCATCTGTTCGTGGATGAAAAACTGTACTAAAATGAAGTTTAGTACTTATAACTTTCTACAAACTGAGCCAAAATTTAGAAGTGAGATGAGAATCTATATTTGAAACAATAGATACTGGTGCCCCATATAAACTAATTATCTCGTCAACATATATGTTTGCCAATTTATCTAACGAGTAAGTGACTTTAATAGGCAAAAATCTAGTAGTCTTTGTCAATCTATCTAAAATGATCCATATGCCATCATGTCCACTCTGAGTCCGTGGAAGTCCAAATAGAAAAT